TGCTCACTATAAGAAAGTAAAAGGAAGGTTTAATGATGCCAGCTGAGTCCAGTTTCACACTAACACTGGCTCATTAACGTCACTTGTAGAAGGAAGTCTCAACAATGCCTGTACATATTAGGGCCATTACATCAGAGCGAAGTGGGGCAGAGGTGAAAGCTAAACTTTAATTTTGTGTTCTTATGTGATAAAAAGAAAGAATGTGGCAAATTACGTAACTTTCAAGGTTTTTTTTTAAAATGACTTAAATCTTGCCACAAATGGAATGAATAAGTTTGTAGGAACTTTTATAGTATTGAGTTTTATTTCATCATAATTTATTCATGATTTGAGTTTACTTTTTTAACAACTAATATGCTTAAAACTGCTAAAAACTTGGGTGAATTTCAGTAATAATTTTAGCTATCTGGAGTTTATACATTTGCATAACTTTTCTGATGTTGAATTTTATTTCACAATGATGTATTTATTCACATTTACACTGATTATTTACATTGCAATTTTTTGCCATTTCCAAAGCTATTCTCAAGGAAGTGCATTATTTACTGTTACCATCTAGTACCTAGTGTAGCTTTTCATCCTTCATTAAATTAGATAAGGTATGCTGCTAATGGAATTTAACATGTGTGTGGGGTATAGTGAGTGGTTAGGGGCCAAAGTAATGTTCTTAACTAAGATATAATTTTTTTTTAAAACGAACTCTTGTCATCTTGTATTTATACAAGATATATTTATTTATATATATATTTATTTGTGCTTAATCTAAAGTTATATAATGTTTTTCTGACAGAAACACATGTACTGCCAAGATAAATATCTTAAAACATTTTTCTTGCCTTTTTAATCCCACTGTGTTTATTTTAGAAGCTGAAGAAATCTTTGAGTGGCAGCTCCGAACCCCAGTGATCTGACATGAAACGACCTCTTAGCTAATCGATAAGCTAAACTCATTAGCGTCCTTATGCGCTTTATGGTAAAGCCCGCGTTCATTAGTGTCTCTGGTATTTGGTTCCACAGATGAATGTTTGATGGCTAAATGCTTTCTCCTTATCCATGCTGTGCTTTTAGACCTCCTTTTTCCACTCAGTTGGTTTTTCCCACACCATCAGCTGGCAGGGAAAGACTGATAGCATGGCTGAAGCTTGCTTCTGTTTGCTTTTCTCACTGATTACGTTAGCTCACACCACACGCACACACTCATACTCGCTCGCATTCACAGAGGCACATGCTAGCCATCCTCAAAAGTCAAGAATATGACACAAACCTTTTGCTTTAACAGGAGTCTGCATTGACTAAAACTTCCATCACTGACATTTTTTTCTTTCTTGCCTGGCCAGTTCTTACCCCCAATCTTTTCCATTCTGCCTCAAAATTGCTGAGAGCATGTTCGATCTGCAGGTTTTCTCTCGTGTGTTGCTCAAAAGTACAAGAGAAATGAGGAGGCGATTGCAATTCGGAATATCGACCACCTTTGGGCCCTAATTCTGCGATGCTGCTGTTTGACTGCTTTTTGGTCCCTTATACACTAACAGGAGCAGGTCAGAAGCTGGCCACTGATGAAGGGCTAGAGGATGGCTAACACAAATTGTCTATCAACAGATAGGCTGCAGTCTCTAACTATACACCAGCAAAGTGGAACTATAACAGATGGGTTTCTAATGAAGTGGACAGTCATTGAAATCAGTTCTTTGTTGTAATGATCTGCATGTAATCTCAATTACATAATCTGATTACAAAAACCACATACTTCTAATTCCTAATGTTGAAAATATGCACAATGAGCTATGCATCAATTAGTTTATTTTTTTAAGGATTATGTTGATCAGGCAGCCACAATAAACTAGTTTTTACTTTGTATGCCCATAATACCATTATGACTGACAACTGTAATTACTGTGCATGTTGTCTCAGGAGAAAACATAGTGTAGCTTCTGATGGACGTGACAGTCGACAATTGACCAAGCACAGAAACAGCTTTTCTTTCAAGCTGGTTGTGCACTATACAACTGAAAATCCTAAGAGATTTATAAAATACAGAGCAACTTACTGTCAGTCTTTTAAAAAATGTCTTTACGAGCAAATTTGACCATGCAAAAAAGAGGGTCTCGCACGCATGAGTTTCGGCTATGAGAAAGCTCTCAAAATCCCAAACCTTTTTCTGGTTGTAAAAATCAAACATCAGACAGCCGCTGTTCACTTGGGAGCTGTATTATAAGGCTAAGAAGTTGACTTGTTACCAAATTATCTGCACCATCATTCAATTCTGGTCAAGGCACAGGGAAAAAATCCATTTAAAGTCATGTAACTTGTAACCAGTACCGCATTACAGTTTTTGGAGTAATCTACCCAACACTGATGCTTTGCCCAAATTAGCATACTGCGTAGTGTATACTGCATTCTGTACCAGTGTATATTGTATACTGTATGCTACTCTTCATAGTAGTATACATTATAGCATACGGTATATGACAAAAGCTGTGTGGCACGCTACAGGGAAGGGGTGCAACTGTAGGAGCTGACCCAGTCACACACATCCCATTTTACTTAGCCATCCAGTCACTCCTTAGCAACTGTTGCTAACTGGTGTAGATATATTTTTGGTCAAGAGATGTGCCTGCTTTGGAGAGATACTATGGCAGAGTGTAGGGTGTTGTTTTCTGTTCATCTTCAAAGCCACAAAAATTTCAGCTTTGGATTCGTCTGTGTGGAAAACCTGGATGGCTACCAAAGACATCTATGTTTTCCTATGTTTGCTGAAAGGAAAGTCATTTAATTTTTGTTTGACTATGTGAATTATTTGGCTAAGACCAACTTTGGCAAGTTACTCTTTTAACTTAAGTTGACTTAATTTAGATGAAGTAAGCGAAGTAAATAAATTAAATTGTTTGGAGTTAACCAGGCAGGTACCTCAATGGTTATGTCCTCCTGAAATAACCGTGTTGCATTTTGGGATGCAGTAAATCATAAAGATAGCTTTGGCATAATGGGGAAATTCATGTTAGTCACGATACTGCATACTACTTATAAATTTTGGGCACAGTCAGAACAGGAGTAGTCTGCAGTAGACCATTACGAACACAACCTGTGTAAAACCTGAGTGGTGAATGGTATCACCTGCATAGTTATAACCCTGAAGTAGTAGTAAAATGCCTGGCTTTAATATTCAGATGGTTCTGGAGACTTTGTTAAGCTGAATCAGGTGTGTTAGAGCAGGGTTGGAACTAAAATCTGGAAAGTTAAAACTAAACTCTGCAGGGTGTTAGATTTCTGGGATCAGATTTGGAGGTGGCTAGGTGATCCTGGCCTGGGCCTGAGCAACCACCTCTTTGAGCCTCTGTGCTGGAGCAGATGTTTATGAGAGAAAGCATGCTTCTCTCTCATACTCTGAGTCTCTCACGTCCATGACCAGAAACACCCATGGGCGGATTAGGCATGCCTCAGCCTTGGCCATATTTACATTCCTGCAGGATTTCACACCCTTAACTCTACTCCGCCTCTCCTCATCACTCTCACACCTCTCTGCTTCACTCTCACACCACACAGCCCAGATGCACAGAGGCCCAGGTCTGGATCATCTGCCCCCCATGTACAAATCCCAGATATGGAACAGCATGCAGAGTTTATTCTGATGTTTAGAAATTTGGAATCAATGTTTTAATAATAATAATAATAATAATAATAATAATAATAATATTTTGTTGCAGACATCGGTATAAAATGATTGCAATATGATGCTAGTCCTGTACACAAGTTTAAAAAAAAAAGGTTTGCTGGATGAAGAAGAGTTGTAGAAGATTCTGAAATGACTGAGAAAGTTATATAGCCTGGTAAACTCATTTTTAGAAGAATCTAAATTATAATTTAATAAGAATGAATAGTAAAGAGTAAAGTTATAATATAATTGATACCAAGAAAGATTTTATAATACAATGAATATCCTGAATGTCCCATATTGCAAACATGTTGCTCAAAGCTGGAGGCAATTCTTGACAAGAAGTTACAATAAATACATAATTACAATACATTATTTATCTTACATACAGTCATATTCAAAAGTTAGAACGCCTCCGGTCAACATGTTTTTTGTTGATTATCTGATTATCTAATAAGTTAACATCTACAGGGAACAAACTTAAATATGTTTCTTGTGCACAATTTCTACTTTTTGCTGAGTCTAACATATTGGCAAATAGATAAACCTAAATCCTTCTTTTGCTTGTGCTTTAAAACATGTAGAAGTACATTAAAACATATAGAAATGTGTACTTTGTAGACGATGTGTACATAATTACAATTAGAAAATCAACAAAACCTGATTTAAATAAGAATTTATATTATTTATAACTTCTTACTGGAATATTGAATAAAATGTCACAGGATATTATTGGAGGTAAGGGTAGCTAAACTCTGCAGGACGGTGGATCTCACGAACCTAATACATGGCATGACCAAATGCATTTAATCTACTTGATCTACACAGTTGTGTACGTACTCTCCCTGATCACTTTTTTAGAAACCCCTCCTTTGTAGCTCCACCTTGCTGGTGTACAGTTGGAGACTGCAGCCCATCTGTTGATTTGTATTAACCAATCTCTATCCCCTCATCAATGGTCAGTTTCTGATCACAAAGCCACTGCTGGCAGGATATTTTTGGGTAGACTACTCTCAGTTGAGCAGTGACACTGACATGTAAAAACACTGCTGTGTCTGATACACCTGTACCAGCACGACACAGTAAAATAACTACAATGTCAGTGTCCCTGCTATGCTGAGAATGATCCACAATCCAAATAATATTTGGACAGTAGTAGTCCTGTGTTCAGAAATCTGACCAGTTGACCAGTAAATGCATTAGAGGATGTAGTTGTACGAACAGGTAGGCTACAGTCTGTAATTGGACACCTGTATAATGAGTCTATAAGGTAGAAGGCCAGTGATAGGAGTTTTTAATAAAGAATATAAATGTATGTCTATGTTTGTGTGTGTCTGTCTTCTTGCAGAGGACCAGATCCCTCATGGTTTTCCCACCATAGACATGGGCCCCCAGCTGAAAGTAGTTGAGAGGACGCGTACGGCCACCATGCTCTGTGCAGCCAGTGGAAATCCTGATCCAGAAATTTCCTGGTTTAAGGACTTCCTGCCCGTAGACATCAACGGCAGCAATGGCAGAATCAAGCAGCTTCGCTCAGGTGAGAGAAATCACCCTAATAACCCCATGATAATCTGATAAACACTCAGGAAATGCAATTAAAGTGCAGTTAATGTCAACATATTTTCAGTTTGTCAAATAGTTAAGCCTTTGGTTTATTTATTTAGCATTCAGGATTCCAAAAGTCCTGTTTATTATTAGTATGAAGCTGTTTTTGCAGCCCTGAACATGAGCACCCATGGGTGGTGATGGATGCACATGGCCAAACACGTAGCCAAAAATACTGTGATCATCCAGACTAGTTATATTAGTTTAAAATTACTGTTTGAGATGTTTATTTAGCTTGCTTGTATCAGCTACATTGATAAAATGTGAGTGTAGAAATGTAAATAGGAAAATATTATTGAAGACTCTAAGATCATGTAACCTAGCAAAGAGGATCTAAGTAGAAACATCTCCCGACAAAAGGACACAAAAGTCACAGCTAGCTTAGCCACCTCCATGGCTCTTACTGACCTGCTTACTTTACATGCTGATACTTGTACTTAAAGCATAGCAGATTAACCCTTGGAGGGCTACATTTATCAAAAGCATGTACTTAATTTTTAAAGAATGTAAAGTGAAACATAATTTTAATCCATTATGTAATTAAGTAATTATGTGTAAATAATTTTGCAAAACAGTAGTAGATGTCTAAATGTTATGAAACAGTGAATCCTGTAGAGAGGTACATTCAATGACATTAACCTGAGGCTTAAGGAATTTATAGACAAACTGTACTGCATTAGGTCTGAAGTAGAACAAGCAAGAAAGTTTCAACTCAGTGGCCTTGCAAATGCGGCAGTTGTTAATGACCCTGACCCTACAGCCTGGAACATGGGGCTAAGCATTAAAACACCTTAGCGACTTACTTTGACCGGCTTCATCAGCCTTTGTCACCAGAGAGATCTAGCGAAGCGAAACTGATGAACAAGTTCCTGTTTACTCTATCCATCGCATGGCCACTGGACATTAATGTAATTTATTTGTTTTGATGGAGTCCATTATTTGATCCCTAAATTAGAATTGCTCTCAAATTATAAACCTGTGGTGAGAGGCTTTTTCTATCAAGAAATGCTAATCAGTTCTTTTTCCCTAACTCAACGGCCTTCTCCCCGCTCCCATAAAGAAAATAATAATAGAAATAATTCAGCATCCTTTGTATCTAATGGAGCCTTATCGTGGCTGGAACATGTCTCTGTCTAACAGTAATTACCAGACTAGTGATTCCTCCCTAGCAGTCGATCAACAATCTGTTTACAATGCAGCACGCGTGATGAGCAAGCAGAGAGAGAGAAAATAAGAGAGAGGAGGCAGCTTTTGCACCAGATGCTCTCGAGCTTGCGTTTCTCACACTGCTAATGTGCAGAAAACATGAATGCAGAAGATATATGTATAGATAGATATATAGACAGAGAGACAGACTTGCTTAATTCCGAAGGCCATCGCAGAGTTATAGCAGCAACAACAGAACTGTACGAATATCATATATACACTCATATGCAAAATTTGGGTGACCCTTTTCTAACTACATGTTTTTGCTGAAGTTAACATACTGGGGAAAAATAAAACATAAAATGTAGTCTGTGTAAAGTTATTATGTATTATTACATTTTTAAAATTAAATAGAATTGTGCAAAAAATCATATGTAAATTTGTTCCCTGCAAAGAAAGTTTGAACTTATTTTCACTTAGAAAATCAATAAAATGTTATTTGGCAGAGTTGTTCAAACCTTTGCAATGGACTGTATATTAGAATTATAAAATTTACAGAAAGTACAAGATCAACGCTATATTACAGTGTGCTACACTGCAACTGAACATTTGCATACAAGGCAAACTGAGGTAGCTTTTAACCCCTAAAGCTAAGGATCCATATGAATGTCCGCACACTGAATAATTCGTAGCAGTTGCTGAATACTTAATCTGATAATCTGATGACTCATAGCTGAATAAATAACCTGCAGTTTTAGGGATTAAAGGTCCAGTTGAATATTATACACATGTTCTATGCAGCAATATAAAACCGTTCCTCTGTTCAGCTAAAATGCTGTGCAAGTTAGTGAGAGTCATTGCACACAATCTAATGGTCATGGATACCATTTACAGAGAACTTCAGGGTCTTACCTTATATTTTAAAAATTAAATGATAAACAGAACTGTTATTCCAACTGGAAAAGGGAAACCATGTCGGTGTTCCTCCTCCTCTGGCCATGGTGAAAATATAGTAAAGCTCTTCTATTTTTCACCATGGCCGTATTCAACACTGTAGGCTCAACAGAAAGCCTCAGTGTGCCTTAAAGCCCTCGGCAAACTGCTGATGCCTTTAACTCTTAAGCCACACAGTTTCCGGCGGCTTCCCCAGCGTCTCTGACCCCCTCCCTCACAATCTAAACTCCTGTTTTCACACCCCAAAGTGGTTGGATTATCATCCAGATCTCACACGTCTGCATAATGACCAACACACTTTCCCAAATTATGACCAAACTACCAAGAAAGTTAACAAAATACACAAATAAATCAGGTGTTTAACACATGGGCATACACTACAGGCAAAAAAAAAAGTCCAAAAACTTATAAAAGTTATCTCTAATCAGATCCACTGGGTTCCTCCATTGAGATGCTAATGAATACTTGATCAACTCAAGCAGGTGGTGCATCAGGAGTCTATAAAGTACAAAAACTGCTCAATATAAGGGACTCTTCTCACTAAAGAAGAAACCTTTCCTTTAAGAAAATGCTAGAGTACAGCACTGCAATGCAACACAACAGAGTAATCTGTAACAAACTTCTTTGGGTAATCTGGCTGTATATATTTAGAAGTAATTATATTAACATTGTACAATATATTATGTTTTAATGTTATTTAGTATGTGAAATTTGGACACTGTTTTCAAAAATGAAGCGTTCAGGGTATTGTTATTGTTATTAGTTCATTATCAATCATTATTATTATGCTGGACGCTTTTTTTTTAATTATAATGGAATCTGTAATGGAATTAAAACCTATGGAATATTAGCATCATATTAAAATCATTTATACATATATTTGCAACCAGATTGTCTTTAAATTACTGAAAACAGTGATCCCATATTTTTTAACTTTAGTGTATATTGAATATGTTAAATAATGTAAATATTTTCAAACTTTAAAAAAATGATTCACTGCTTGGCCTGTAATGTAACTCATGCATGGTAGAAAACAGTATAACAATTCAGCTGCTTGAACTGAACAGCCAATAAGGAAGGTTTTCTTTCTTTGTATTGCGTCAGATTTGTGTGGTTTATGCACTGCAGAGCTGTGGTAGGATTTAAAAGGCCACAGTTGAGCTGGGAGTGAGAATATGGTTCACACTAAAAATAACCAGAGATCAGCACTGAGTCACTTACTGAAGAAACAGCACACTAAGTGAGAAAACAGCATGTACAGCATAGGATGTACAGTCTAGAATACATATATGCACCACAGTCAGTCATTCTTATGATCACAGGAGCTCATTTACAGCTTATAATAAAATCAACCTGTAAGGCTTCCATCCAGAGAGCCAGTCAGATTCTACCGTTATTCCTTCATGGACAAGACAGGAAAAAAGACAGACAAAAAGAAAGAAGAAAAAAATCTTTTCCTGCTCATTTCTTTTTTCTCTCTATTCTTCGTTTTTTCTTCTCTTAATCTCTCTCTCTCTCTCTTTCTCTCTTTCACCTCTGTACTAATGCTTCTCTTTAATCTTATTTGCATTCAAATTACCTCACCAGGTGGTACACCAATCAGAGGTAAGAATGCTGAAAACAGAAAGTGTCCAAATGCTTCATTCCTCGACCTCCTTTCACCCAGATTTCTCCATCGTTCTTTGTCTCTCTCCGTTTGTCTCTTTCTTTACCTCTCTCCCTCTCTTTCGTCTCTCGTCTTCTCTGTGCATGAACCTTTGTTCATCTGCCTCATTTATCCACTTCAAAAGCACTTCTATATAGAACAAATTTCAAGTGAAGGAACAAAGCAGATTTTAGAAAGATTTTAAAATTAAAAATGTATCTACAGTCGCAGTCAAAAGTTTGGATCCATTTTTAATAGAAAGGTTTTCTTTCATTTTTACGTTTTTGCACATTTTGCAATACTAGCTAAGACATCAACACTATGAAACAACGCACATGGAATTATATAGAGACCAAAAATGTGTTATATAAATCAAATTGTCTTATATTTTAGATTGTTCAGTTCTCCTTTACGCATTTTTGACATTCTTTTAAGCAGCTTCATGAGGAGGCACTTGGGATGCCTCTCCAACAGACTTAATAAACTGTGATGATAATAAACCGATATGATGACAATAGTAGATCATTCACTTATATCATTGGAAGACACATCCTCCACAAAGTTTTGACTGATTCTCTTTAAATACTCTTTCAGCGCACTCAAAATCATCCGTTTTATCCAGTTGTGGAAGGTGTCTGAAGCACAACCGACATTACAAAATGTTCTTCTGCACATTGCATTTCCACCAGAGAGGTCCCCAAATCCCCATTATATATTGCAGTTTTAATTCAGTTTAAATAATTCAATATTAATTTATTAAATTCAGTGTCATGACCTTTCAAAGTTGTCTTACAAAAAAGTTTCAAGCATTTAAGCATAAACCAAAGCATACATTTAATCCTGTGGGTCTGAACTGTTGACTGGTACTGTACCTATTTGTTGACAAATATAATTCTCCCCCTGGAGTGGGAGGTTTGTGTCTCAGATGAGAATAAAGTGAGGCCTCTTGAGTTCTGCTGGTTTAGGACCTTAACAGGTATAGGTCCTTCATATAGGATTCCCTAAGAGTGATTCACAGTTCAACTTGAAAACTCTCAGGAGGTTTAAAATGAAAATTTAACAAAAAAAAATCTAATTTGCACAATTTTCCTTTTACCCAGATTAACCTAGTTAATCAGCCAAGACATGTTTGGTGTGTAAAGTTTGTTTTGCACTGGCCTACAAGGCTAATGTAACTAACATGTAAT